CAGCTTAGCTATATTTATTTTTAAAAATCTGTATTCTTGGACCACTTAACCTCACTTTTGGAAATTTGTCTTAAATAACCCAGAATACAGATTTAACCACAAAGATGTTTATCACATGACTAAGCAAATAGGCTATTGTTGCACTATAATTAGGCATTTGTATATGTAAGTACTGGTACATGCACACAGTAAGTTAGGCTGCCATTAGAAATCATTTACAGAGTGACTTTTTAATTACCTTTGATATAAACATTATGGGGGGGAACAAAGCACAAAAGTGTATATTGTCGTACCAAGTAAGATCTGTAGTCTTCTCTAGGTAATAAGATTGTAGGCAAGTCTTATTTTCTTCCTTTGGTAATCTATATTTTCTTAACTTCAAACAATGAACACGTATAATATTCTTAAAAATTATGTCTCCTCTCCCGCCCATATTAGATACAGTAAATTACTATCTCAACTATACATAGGATACATGTAAGGTTGTGGGATAACAGATAAGTTTTACTCTGTTTCTGTCATTTATATCTATAATTCTATAACACACATCATGATAGAATACTTGATTATTTTGCAGAAAGCACAAATTATTGTCAAGATAAGTGAAAACCAGTAATATTGAGTAAAGATACAAAATCATTTATCTTTTAATTCCAATCTAATCTTTGCAAACAATGCAAAAGAGTTGAATTAAGTTCAATCAAAAAGATCAGAATCTACCGAACAAGATAATCATAAAATAGCCAACAAAAGTTATCAAGTGATTTCAGAAGGTATATGCAGAAGTACTTTATCAAGCATTCTTAATTGATTTTCAAGAATGACTTATCAAAATGCTGTTATTTGAAAAACAAGTATATTTTATCCCTTCTTTATCATAGTTCTAATTTCCAGTAGCTTCTTAGTGGTAAAAAGTGTTCTATATAAGTAAATAAAATACTTTACAATTAATAACAAAGATCCCCTTAGACTTCAGCTTGATAAGAAAAACAAGACAGAGATATGTTCCTAAGAATTTGTCCATCTCAAAAATAAGCTAAAAGGAAGCAATTAAGTCAAAACTTTGGGCCTCAACAATAATATAAACCACCAAATAAAGGACTATTTGAAACAAACCTTCAATTCAAAGATTGGCAATCTTTTGGGCGGCACCTTTAAAGATAATCTTACCCTGGGAGGGAAAGGAGGGAAGGCAATATAATCTTTTTAGGTACTCGGCCTCATTATTTTGCTAAAATTGGTGCAGCTTATCAATAGTAAAGCAACATTTCAGCCACTAGGTGGCGGGTAAGAAAAAAAATTAAAACGGCTAAAAAACAAAACACAAGCAAAGGATGCAGGTGCAAATTAAGTTACAGACTAGGTCATGAGATCAAAGGTACCAACAAACCAACAACCCAACTCTTCCAATTCTACAGCAACTGCCAAGAAGTGTGATTAAATGAAGAACATCCAAAGTAGGACTGGCCTTGCCAGGGTTGGGTCTGAAGACCATCTACTTCTCACTACTGATACCCTTCTAAGAAAATTGAGATTTGGACTGTGGGTGATTCACATTATAATCTCAAGGAAACAATCAGAAATGAGTCTGGGGAAGAGAGCTCAAGGATGGAGGAAGAAAATACCTTTTCTTGCATGTAGTGGAGGTGTGGAATAAGAAGAAAATATCTAAAGATACCCCCCTCACACTCCACAACCTTATCCCCAAAATACCATCCACACTGCCTGAAATTCCACCTAGAAGTGCAGAGGACTAACAACATAAACAGACCCCAATATAGGCACACAAATAAAACTATTCTCTAAGAATGTGCACCAACTAAAGTTATCAAATTTTAATACCATGGAGACATGACTAGATTACAGTAAACTGTATAATGAACATATTGGTTCATCCATATGGTAGTTACAGGGATCAATTTGTAATTTTGACTCCAGTACATGGGAAGAAAATGCCCCTACCCATAAACAGGAGTATCAGATCTGTGAGACCAAGAGTCTTAAAACACAGACAGATGCATCAATCTGTCACAGTCTAATGACATCAGTCATTAAGACAATATAACTAATTCTCCTGGGCTCTGATTCTAACCTTAATAGACAATCCGCTTATTATACATTTGTCTTCTCATATATAGTAATGCAATGTTTTCAACCTCTCCTTTCCAACATAACTAAAGTGGTCAATACAAACCCAACACTAACAGTGATTCACTAAGGCAGTCATTTTTACCCAAGAGGCATTCCACATATTAAAATTCCCAAGGGATTGTTTGTCATTTTTATAAAATACCCTAAAACTCTGAGATTCTGAGTTCCTTCCACTGGTTGAGAATTATGGGTCTCCACAGAGAATACGTTGACCTAATTCGGTTAATCTGATAATTACATTTCTCTCTACAAATTAAATGTTACGGCAATTTGGGTTTTATAGATCAGTTTCTGCACCCCAAATTAATTACAGGTATACTGATAGGCAGAGATGTGCCTTTGATGTGCCAAAGAACCAGCAGTATATATTTAATATGAGTTAGAAGCTTAGGACACTAAAACATTCTAGGGCCTTAAATGGAAGTCAACTAATCCAATTTAGTTTAACATTCTCTCAATGAAAAAAATCCCTTCTGTATTTCTCACTTGGTTTAATTTGTTCTACTTCCTACCTAACACCTGAGAATAACTGGATAGTTTACTCCAGAAATGAGGAGGAAAGAGGTGTTTTTAGAATACAGGTCTCTCATTTCTAACGGTAAGCACATCTGAGCAGGGCACTTCAGTGAAAAAGGCCACAAGACATACTTTGGGAGATAAAAATGCAGAGTGGAGGGAAGACAGAAGACTCAAAGGAAAATGACAGCGGGACCTGAATAGGGACTCCACAAAAGAAATCCAAATGGCAAATAAATTAATTAAATAATGGAGCACAATCTCATTAGCAATAAAAAAAAACACAAACTAAAAAAACATAAAAGATATTAAACACCCAACAGAATGACAAAAATTAGGAAGCTGGATAATAAACACTTTGGAAAACAGGCATCATACAAATAGCCCACCAACCAGGGATTTTACTTCTTATTCCCAGAGAAACTCTTTTATGTGTACACCAGGATTCATGTTCATAACTGGGCTGTTTTTATAGAAACTAAACTAGAAATCACTCAAAAATTGATCAAAAGTATAGAACAGACAGGTAGTGATATATGAACACAACTGAATATGATATGGCAATGAAAATGCACAAACTGCAAATGTATGCAACAATATAGACAAATTTCATAGACTTAGGAAAAAGATTGCAAACAGTTGATTTCATTTATATAACATTCAAAAACACAAAACTAAATTATATTTCTCAGAGATATGTTCACATATGGTCAAATTATTTTTAGAAAGCAGAAGTATTATTGCAAAAGTCATCTTATGGGATTGATTACTCCTAGCAGAGTTACCCAAGAAAGAGATACTATGACCTAAGGACAAACAGGGACTTCTAGAATATCAGTAATATTCTATTTCTTTACCTGGCTGATGATTAGCTTTCCAACTGTTCTTCAAACTATACATAAGTTTCCTATACTTTTCTATAGTTATATCATGTGTCATAAAAAAAAAAAAAGTGGAAAGAAAGAAACAAATAAATTTACCCACTTTAAAATTCTATTAAGGCTAATCTTGCCTTTCCCCACAGACCAGACTGAAATATCAATTTCTTAAGAAAATGGAGTACATATGGAAAAGAAATCCCTTCAAGATTTAATCCTAGGTTATTCTAAGTATCAGAGTGTACTAAGCTGCACCCCTAAAGTTAACTATGCTTGACAAATCAGTGTGAGAAATATTTTTTTGGTTACATTTTAAATACTCAATTATTATTCCCAGATCCCTTTATACCAACAGCTAAACTTGAAAAAAGACATTTTTTTTTTACATCTCTCTTTCTCTATTCTAACAAAGTAAGTTTATAGAACACATTTCCATTTTGAAGATTTCTGCTATGCTGCTTTCAATTTCAAGTCTCATTTCTCCAGAAATGAAAGTCTTAGCCATCAGATCTCTTTCCTTTATATACATACAATAAAAAATATTGTTATAAAAAATGAAAGTTTTTTGCAATGTAGAATGGAAAGTGCTAGGAAATTAACCGTCGTGTCCAGGGTGCCCAGGGTGGAAGTCTGGCAAGAATGAAAAGTACAAAGAAATAAGAAGATAAATCTTCTCACTAATACAAAAGGCTCAAAAAGTAAACTAATAGGGATGCCTGGGTGGTTCAGTTGGTGATGTGTCTGCCTTCGGATCAGGTCAGGATCCCAGGACCTGGAATGGAGCCCCACATGGTGGGCAGTGAGGGCAGGGGGCGGGGGGGGGGGGGGGGGGGGGGG